CTCTACCGCTGAACCACAGCCCCCCGATCAACTTTTTTATGTCCTGTTAAGTAACCTCACTTGAGGGCTGGGGCTATATATAACTCAGTGGTAGAGCATTCGCCTAGCATGCACAGGCTGTGAGTTTGATCCCTGGTACCTTTAAATAAAGAAGGAACCTTGCCTGTTTAACCCCAGTGGCTTTTTGTTTAAATTTGAATTTGTCGGACCCATTCTAGAGTAACCAAATGCCAAAGCAAGACAGTGATATTATAAGCAAAGTACTGGCTAAAAGTTAGGAGATTAGCCAGGCATGGTTGTGCACACATGGAATCCCAGTGGCTTGGGAGGCTAAGGCAGGAGAATCATGAGTTCAAAGCCAGCCTCAGTAACTTAGCAAGGCCTTAGAAATTCAATGAGACCCTGTCTCTAAATAAAATATTAAAAGGGCTCAGGGTGTGGCTCAGTGGTTAAGTGCCCCTGGATTCAATATCTGGTACACACACACACACAAAAAAAAAAAAAAGGGCTGGGGTTATAGCTCAGTGGTAGAGCACTTGCCTAGCATGTGTGAGGCACTGGGTTTGATTCTCATTGCTGCATGTAAATAAAAAAAAAAAAAAAAGGTCCTTTGACAACTACAATAATTTTTTTTAAAGTAGATTTGAGTATTGGTGCCCGTATGAACTTTTTTTCGTTCTTTCTTTTTTGTATTGCTAGGGATCAAACCTAGACCCTCACATATACCAGCATCTTTCAAGATAATAATATCTGCCTTATCAAATCTAAAATATTGTTTTTAATGTGAAATCCTATATGTGAAAATGATTTGAAAAGTTAAATTTAGGACTGTAGCATTAGTCATTGCTGTATTTGAAAAGAGGGTGTGATGTTGAGTGACTTGCACTTATGCAATCTTATCACAATTCTCATTTTTGTTCTTGAGTGAAACATCTGGGTAAATAAATCCTTTTTGAAACATTGGTGATGAGGCATACAGGTCATAGGGAAAGAACCTAAGATCACTTAATTTTTACTTCATTCTTTTGAGATAATACAGTGGCTTAGAGTCAAACTTTGGTGTCGATTTCTTGGGTTTGTATTCTGGTTTTACACTTCCTAAGTCTGTGATCTTGGGCACATTCTCTATTCTCTTATGTCTCATCTTTTTTTTTTAATCTAGAAAATAGAGAAAATTTTCCCTCTTTCATAGAATTCTTGTGAAGACTAAATGAGTTAAACATGTAGAGTAGCAGGGTAGCTCTCACATAATACACACGAGCTGTTACTATGTTGTTCATATACATGGCACATATGTTTGTTGTTATTAATTGTTCTATGCTGAGCCTGTGTTTCCTGATGATAGAGAAATAAACAGCACACAGCCTCTGTCTTCATGGAATCTCATCTTTAATACCTGTTACATGAGATTGTTAGATTTGGGATGCTTCCTAGATGAAGAATGAATACTCACAGTCCCAAATCCTATATTTAAGAATTTTAAAACTTCATATCATATTTTTTCTCCCCCCCTTCTTTTGGCTAGCTTTAACCAGAGAAACATGCAAGCCATTTTTTTTTCTCCTTGATTCCTTAGATAGAGAAATCAGTGCCAAATAAATGAGTTCATTCTTTTGATAAATATTTATTCAGTGCCAAGTATGAGCTAAAGCAGTGTTCTAGGCACTAGGAAATAACAGTGACCAAAACGAAACAAAACATCATTCTAAACCCTTATAGAGCTTACATTCACAGGCGTGTACAGACAAAAAGAAAAAATAAATAAGTGAAAATATATAGTATAAGTGATAAACATTATGGAGAAAAATAAAACCAATAAAAAGATAGGCTTGGTTCTGTTCTTGAGTTGCACATTTTAAGGAGAATTGAGGTTTGGGTACTTTATGTTCTCTCCTCATAGGCACACATTCTCTCTTAAGATTGTATCTGTGATCATCATCTAATGATACAGTTTTTTGAGACCCAAACATTTTTACCTGTATGTCTGAGTGGCGCTGTTTCCTTGATTCTGAGCAGGCCCTCCGTGTTCCAGCAACCTGTCATCTTCCTGGGAGCAGATGTCACTCACCCTCCAGCGGGAGATGGGAAGAAGCCCTCCATAGCGGCCGTGGTGGGCAGTATGGATGGCCACCCCAGCAGGTATTGCGCCACGGTTCGGGTGCAGACTTCCCGGCAGGAGATCTCCCAAGAACTCCTCTACAGTCAGGAGGTCATCCAGGACCTCACTAACATGGTTCGAGAACTTCTGATCCAGTTCTACAAATCCACGCGCTTCAAACCCACTCGCATCATCTATTACCGTGGAGGGGTATCTGAGGGACAAATGAAACAGGTACTCTCATTAGCCCATTGTTGCCATCTGGAGCTTCTAAGAATCTAAAGGGGCTTCCTCCCATGGGCTCCTCAGTAAATCAGCTCTGAGAGATACTCTCTGAGACATGATTCCATTTCTGTCTCCTAGGTAGCTTGGCCGGAATTAATAGCGATTCGAAAGGCATGTATCAGTTTGGAGGAAGATTATCGGCCAGGAATAACATATATTGTGGTGCAAAAGAGACATCACACAAGACTGTTCTGTGCAGATAAAACAGAAAGGGTAAGAAGACGGTAGTGTAAAGTTTCATTATCTGACTCTGTGGCAAGGGAATCTGGTTTTGGTTTTGGTTCTGGTTCTGGAGATTGAAACTAGGGCCTTATGCATACTAAGCATCCTGCTCTACCGCCCACTGCCCCTGAATGCCTCCTTCTCCCTCCCTCCCTTCCTTTGTACTACTAGGTATTAAACCCAGGGTGGTTCTACCACATCCCCAACCCTTTTTATTTTTTATTCTGAGACGGGATCTCTCTAAATTGTCCAAGCTGGTCTTGAATTTCTGATTCTCCTACCTCAGCCTCCTACCCCACAGAGTAGCTGAGATTACAAAACTGTGCCATCACTTCCAGCCTGAGTATGTTTTTAAAGTGTGCATATTTACATTTATTTCCCTCAAAAGCACAAGTACCTAATAATAATTTAGTAAACATAGTATTTGCAGTTGAGCTTACATGGCTAATTCTGAATGGTACAAGTTTCAGGAATGAATTTTCTTTTTTTTTTTTTTTAATATTTTTTTTTAAATTTTTTTAAGAGAGAGAGAGAATTTTTGATATTTATTTTTCAGTTTTTGGCGGACACAACATCTTTGTTTGTATGTGGTGCTGAGGATCGAACCCGGGCCGCACGCATGCCAGGCAAGCGCCCTACCGCTTGAGCCACACCCCCAGCCCATGAATTTTCTTTTGTGTGATAGAAATGCTGTCTTCTAGAGCTTTATTGGGGAAGGGGAGTCAGAAACACACCAGGTACATTAGGGTGACAAAGATAACCTTAAGGGGGAGTTTATCTGTTTGAACTTCATTGCCATTTGCTACTTTTTACTGCCAATGCCTAGACCACAGTTGGAAGTAAAGAATTTCTCTTCCTGGGACTGGGTTGTAGGTCAGTGGTAGAGCACTTGCCTAGCATGTATGAGGCACTGGGTTCAATACTCAGCACCACATAAAAAGTAAATAAATTCAATAAACATCTATCAACAACTAAAAAATATTTTGAGTTTTCTCCCAAAACTATTTTATATCAGTGTAGAGAATTCCTTATTTTAGCATAGAGTTTTTTAAAATTGGTACAAGAGAGCTGGGGGTTGTACCTCAGGGGTGGAGCGCCTACCTTGCACATGTGAGGTACTGGGTTCGATCCTCAGCACCATAAAAATAAATAAATCAATAAATAAAATGTGTCCATCTACAACTAAAAAATGTTTTTTAAAAATTGGTACAAGAGTCTTGTTATGTGCCCAGGTTCATCTTGAACTCATGAGATCAAATGATCCTCCTGCCTCAGCCTTTTGACTAGCTGTGACTATGGTCCTGAATCACTGTGCCCCCACAATTTTGCTTCTTTGATATTTTATAACATTACTTCATTTTGTCCAGACCCTCCCTGATCCATCCCCAAGAGATCAGACCTTTTCATTGCCTAATCATGAAATCTGGCTGGCCACATTCCCACTATTTTCTAGTACACCCTTTGCTTCTTGTCTCTAATCCAAGAATGAGGTGTTTCTTTTTGTCTCTTTTCTTTCTTTATTTCCCCTCTTCCCCTTCCTCCTCCTCCTTCTCTTCCTTTTTTTAAATTTTTTTTTATTCTTACATGCTAGGCAAATGCTCTACCACTGAGCTACATCCCCAGCCCTTTTCATTTTATTTTGAGACAGAGTCTTAACTAAGTTGCTCTTGTGATTCTCCTACGTCAGCCTCCTAAGTAACTGGGATTACAAATGTGAACCACCACACCCCACTTGTTTTTATTTCTGAATCTTTAAAGAACCAAGGTTGGCTGGGTATGATGGCACACACCTGTAATCCCAGTGGCTCAGGAGGCTGAGGCAGGAGGGTGGTGAGTTCAAAGCCAGCCTCAGCAAAAGTGAGACACTGAGCAACTCAGTGAGACCCTTTCTCTAAATAAAATACAAAATAGGGCTGGGGATGTGGCTCAGTGGTCAAATGCTCCTGAGTTCAATCCCCAGTACCCCCCTCCAATTAGAAAATTTTAAAAAGTAATAGAGAGCAAAGTTTGTTTGTTTGTTTTTTCTCTCTGTGGGCCTACCAATCAGTTTAAATTAAAAATATTGTCTTGCCATGTGCAGTGGCACAGGCCTTAATCCCAGTGACTTAGGAAGCTGAGGCAGGGGAATGGCCAAATTCAAGGCCAGCCTCAGCAATTTAGGAAGACGCTCAAAACTTAGTGAGACCCTGTCTCAAAATAAAAAAGGGCTGGGGATGGGGCACAGTGGTAAAACACCCCTGGGTTCAATCTCCAGTACCAAAAATAAAAAATAAATGGGCTAGGAATGGAGCTCAGTGTTAGAAGGCTCCTGAGTTCAGTCTCTAGTACCTTAAAAATAAATAAATAAAATAAAAATGTTGTCTTGTAAATTTCCCAAACTCTGACTCAACAGGACTTTTTAGATTTTGCTAAAACTTTGTTAATACAAATTTTCTGAACACTTACCTGAATGCTGGGCACAAAATATCCTGCCACCCATCCTCAACAGCTGTGATCACCTCTCCACACCTGTATGAACTTGCTGTCCTTGTAGCCTTAGGACTTTCCAAAATCCTAGACTCTCTCCTACTTCTGTTCTTTACCATCCGGTGTCACTACACTCCTTGCAATACTGATAGTTGCAGTTCTTGGTTTACTTCATATCACTGATCCTTACCAACATCTCCAATTTTCTAAACTTGCCTCTTGCCATCTCTAAATCTGAATTAGTTCACTTGACATTTCCTTTGCTTCTACTGTCTAGCTGACAAGAGTTACTGGGGGGAAAATAATTTCTTCAATCATGAACCATATTATAAGTACATGATAACAAATTGCAAATCTCAGCCAGGCCTTGGATTCTGTAATTTTAAAATGTATACTATTCTCCCTAGCATATGTTCCAAACCTTTATATTTTTTTCAAGTCCCCTATCTACCCATGTTGTCCTCACTGTCAACTAAGTCCTACCTTCTATTTCCCCAGAAAATAAGATCTGGAAGATATGAGTGTTCTCAGATGGCTCTCTTCTAATTTAGTTAAATTTTGTGTTTTGTTTTTGTTGTTTTGTGGTGCTGCAGATCAAACCCAGGACCTAGTGCATGCTAGGCAAGAGTTCTACCACCAAGCCACATCCCTGTCCCAAATCTTCTGCTTTCTTATCTTCTTCTAACATCCCAGGCTAATTCTCCATCTTTACTTTTGGGTTTTCTTTCTTTTTTTTTTTTTTGGTACCAGGGATTCAGGGGCACTCTACCACTAAGTCACATCCCTGGCCCTATTTTGTATTTTATTAGAGACAGAGACTCACTGAGTTGCTCAGTGTCTCAGTGTTGCTGAGGCTGGCTTTGAACTCGTGATCCTCCTGTCTCAGCCTCCCAAGCCACTGGGATTACAGCCACCACACCGGTTCCATCTTTGCTTTTGATCCTAATTCTTTCTGCATTCTCTAGAGACTCACTTCATTAGTGATCCCTTCTGTTTTTAGAATTTCAGTCTTTCTCATCCTGTGACCTCTTTTTTACCTTATATACTTGCCCCTGCCTCAATTCTTCCATTAAACATCCCTTCACTCTGCTTCTCCCTTAGTCTACCTGATACCTTATTTTTCTTTCTTTCTTTCTTTCATGGCTTAACTTTTTGCAAAAACAATCACTTTGCAAAAACAAAGGCTTTCTGTCCTTACCTGTTCTCATCAGACTTCAATTCTCTAGACTGACTTCAATTTCAGGAAGTCCAGAGTTCAAGAGGTGTTCCCTCCCTCAATGCCTTGCTCATTTCTAAGGAGGTCAGATTCCCTCATTGATCTCTTCTTAGAACTTCACACAAGGTTTTCCTCCTTTGGCCTTAGCAGTCTGTCTAGGTTTGCTCCCCACCTTGTAATCAGGTTTCCTCTGACTCTTCTTCCTCCTGTGTCCATGAAACACTGCTGCTTCCTGGCATTTCATACTTCTCTCTTCTCAACTTCAACTTTCTCTTTAGTCTCATCCCCTTTTCTAGGCTCATTTATTTTCTTATCAATTCCTAAATCTGTATTTCCTGCCCCCAAACACTCTATGCAACTCCTGATCTGTATTTCCAATTATCTACCAGACATATTCACTTAGATGCTTTATAGGCATTGTATCAGCCAAGACAACCTAGACTGTGCAGCAGTAACAACAACAACAAAACAATCTTGCAGGCTTACCAAGATTTATTTCTTGCTTACATTACACATTCACTGGTTGTGCTACAGCTGTGACCCTGCTGTCCTCCCTTCAGAACCCAGGCTGGCAGAGACGCATGTATCTGGAACATTGCCAATCATCGTGGCAGAGGGGAAAAAAGATACGTGACAAGCCATGTGTGGCTCTTAAAGCTTCTGCCCAGTAGTAACACATTTCAGGACACATTTTCTCTGCCAAAGCAAGTCACATGGCCCCTCCTGAGATAATTGGGTGCGGATGTCTAATCTTTCCCCAGGGAGGGGCACAAGAATATTTGGCACCAGTGATATAACCTACCCCAGGCATTTCAAGCAAAACACGTCTAAACCTTCCACTTACTGTTTCATCTCCATCCACAACCTCTTTCTCCTCTAGTTTTTCTTTTATTCTGCTACTTGGCATCACTGTGTATCAAATTGGCCAAGCTGGAAAGCTCAGAGCTGAGTGTAAATTGTTCTCCTCCCTTGTTGTCCCCATGTCCAGTAGGTCAAATAGCCCTCTGTGTTCTACCCGAAGTTCTCTCATCTCAGTTTTTCCTCTTGTGTATCCCTGCTGCCCTAGGCAGAACTTGTCTGTCTCGCAGGAGGCTCCTACCAGTCTCCCTGTCTCCATTTCTCCTTCACAAGTATCTTCTCCACCCTGCTGTCAGGGCTAGGTTTTTAAAACACAGATTTTATTGTGCCACTCCACTACTCAGAACTCTTCATGCATTCCACCATTGCTTACAAACACTTTCCTCTGTTGTTTGCTGTTTTTCCAAGGGAGCCAAAGCAACATTTTCATTTCCTCTTTTGCCATGACTTCATATCCCTCCCATTTTCTATATTCACTGCACATTCTTTTTTGTGTGTGTGGCATTGTAGACTGCACCTAGGGCTTCACACATGCTAGGAAAGCCCTCTGCCACTGAGCTACATACCTGGCCCTTTTTATTTTTACTTTTGAGACAAGATCTCACTAAGGAGCACAGGCTGGCTTCAAAATTGTAATCCTTGGGGGCTGGGATTGTGGCTCAGTGGTAGAGCGCTTGCCTAGCATGGGTGGGACCCAGGTTTGGTCCTCAGCACCAAATAAAAATGAAGGCATTGTGTTGTGTCCATCTACACCTAAAAAATAAAATTTTTTTAAAAATTTTAATCCTTCCTCAGCCTCCTGAGCAGCTGGGATTACAGGTGTGGGCCACCATGCCCAGCTACGGTGTGCATTCTTGGGATGACTATATCCATTCCATTCTTGTAATTATTTTGATTAAGGTATAAAATACACACAGTAAAACTTACTGCATTTAGAGAATAGTTTTGGCTTAATGTATAGTTTTGATGTGTCTGTCATTCTGTCACCACCACCACAGTAAAGATTTATAAATCTCAAAAAATTATCACCTGCCCTTTTGAAGTCATCCTTTCCATTATCCTTAATCCCTGGCAACTATTGATATGAATTTTGTCCTATAACTTCACCTTTTCCAGAATGTCATGTAACTAAAACCACATAGCCTTTGATCAAGACTGTCTTCTTTTACGAAACATAATGCATTTGAGATTCATCTAAGTTACTGTGTATATGAGTAATGTGTTTCTTTTTATTGCTGAGTAGTATTTCATTATATGGACAAGCCACGGTTTATCTGTTTCTTGTTTTAGGGATACCTGGAGTGGTTGGAGTCTTTGTTCCACCTTTCTTTTCAACTCCTACTTATCCTAAAAGGCATGGCCTAACTATTCTCTCCCCCAGATTTTCCCAGTGCTTTACACATGCCCTTATCACATTGCATTACAGTGCTTGCATTGCATATTACTTTAAGGAAGGCAAGTTCATTAGTTCTTTCTGCCTCTGGCTCTCATCCCCAACATCTGCTGCAGAGCCTAGCACATGGGTGCTCAAGCAATAATTGTTGAATTGAATGTGCCTGAATTCCCTTTTCCCCAAGATACCATCTCTATCTGTAGAACTTAAAAAAAAATTTGAAGAAGCTCTATGTGAAGTAATTTTGGGAAATGCCGTATAGTTTATCATCTTCTTCAATATTATACTTTAAGAATGCTTTTGAAAAATTATACAGTAGAAAAGCCCCCTATCTTTTTCTGTGCTGGGGATTAAACCAGGATCTCACACGTGCCAGCCAAGTGCCTTGTCCCTGAGCTATAACCCTATAGCTAAAAAGGAAAACTTTTTAAACTTTGATTTAACCCTCACGAGGCTGAAGCAGGAGAATTGCATGTTTCAGGCCAGCCTTGACAACTTACCAAGACCCTGACTCAAAATACAAATTATAAAGGGCTTGGGGATATAGCTCAGAGGTAGAGCACTTGCCTAGCATTTACAAGACCCTGGTTTCAATTCACAGTACTGCCAAAATAAATAAATAAATAAATAAATATTAGGCACAGTAAGAGATTAACAACAACTACTACTGAATAAAATAGAGCCCTATACTGTAATTAAAGTTATGTGAATGTGGTCTCTTTCTTTCTCTCTCTAAAAATATCTTAATCCCTCATTGTACTTTAGTACTATTTTTGGATCCTGGTTGACTTTAGATAACTGAAATTGTGGAAAGCAGAACCTGGGATAAGGGGGAACTACCACAACTCAATTATACTGCCTTTGGTACCCAAGTTTACACATGAATTTGATAGAAGGAGGTTTTTCTTTTCTTCTTTTTTTTAAAATATTTTTTAGTTATACATGGACACAATATCTTTATTTTGTTTATTCATTTTTATGTGGTGCTGAGGATCAAACCCAGTGCCTCACACATGTGAGGCAAGCACTCTGCCACTGAGCCACAACCCCAGCCCAGAAGGAGGTTTTTCTATACTCAGAATTATTACATGCATTGTTGTATGATCTTTAACCCAAGGTCACAGCAGTTAAAAATGGAGCCAACGAAACTCCCATCAGATTTATACCTCTATGTTAAATACACTTCCTCATGTTGAACTCTGCTATACAGCTGAAGAGTGTAACCAAATAGCAAGATTTAATTCCATTCCTTATAAATGCATGTCTGAATGTCCCTGCTCTGCTTTTCTAGAAGTCTGATTTTAGAAAAACTAAAATCAAACTTCTAGAAAAGTTTGGCCATAGAAAAACCTTAGAATCTTAGAAACACAAAAGACCATCTCTAATTTCTTAGCTGATTATATTAAGGCAGAGAGATATGCTTTATTCAAGATGTATAGTAGCAAGGCTAAGCCTATATCTGAAACTGATTTCTTAATCCCCATTTTAGTGCTCTCATCCTGATAATTATTTAAGAGTGACTTCTTTTAGTGATCCCATGTAAGTATTAGTTTTGTTGAACCTGGTCAATCAGTTGAAAGATTCCTTCATCTTAACTTTTACTAAAAAAATGTGGATTTTTGTTTTAATTTTTTCCCAAGTAAGGTATGAAACTGATTTTTTTCCTCAAGAAACTTATCCATAATTTTCTTTTGTTTTTGTTTTGGCACTGGAAATTGAACCCAGGGGAGCTTTACCATTTAGCTACGTCTCCAGTTCTCTTTACTTAAAAAAAAAAAATAAAAAAAAAAAATATATATATATATATATATATATATATATATGTATGTATTTCCTTTTTTAGTTGTTAATAGAACTTTATTTTTATTTGTTCATATGTGGTGCTGAGAATCGAACCCAGTGCCTCACAATTGCTAGGCAAGGGCTCCACCACTGAGCTAGAACCCCAGCCCTCTTTTCTTTTTTTTTTAAATTGATTTTATTTATTTTTTAAACTAATTTTATTTTTAATATTTATTTTTTAGGTGTAGATGGACATAACACAATCCTTTTATTTTTATGTGGTGCTGAGGATCGAACCCCGGTCCCACCCGTGCTAGGCGGGCGCTCTACCGCTGAGCCACAATCCAGCCCTGATTTTATTTTTTAAATACACAACAGTGTAATGCATTACAATTCTTATTATACATATAGAGCACAACTTTTCATATCTCTGTTTGTATATAAAGTATGTTCACACCAATTCATGTCTTCATACATGTACTTTAGATAATGATGTCCATCACATTCCACCATCCTTGCTAATCCCCTGTCCCCTCTCTTCCCTTCCCACCCCTCTGCCCTATATAGAGTTCGTCTATTCCTCCCATGCTCCCCCTCCCTACCTTACTATGAGTCAGACTCCTTATATCAGAGAAAACATTTGGCATTTGTATTTTTGGGATTGGCTAACTTCACTTAGCATTATCTTCAGCTCCATCCATTTACCTGAAAATGCCATGATTTTTTTCTCTTTTATTGCTGAGTAATATTCCAATGTGTATATATGCCACATTTTTTAATCCATTCATCTACTGAAGGCCATCTAGGTTGGTTCCACAGTTTTAGCTATTGTGAATTGTGTTGCTATAAACATTGATGTGCCAGCCCTCTTTGTACTTTTTAAGACAGGGTTGCTGAGACTGGCCTCTAACTTGCAATTCTCCTTCCTCAGCTTCCCAAGTAGAATAGGTGTGTGCCATCATGCCCAGCATTATCCCTCTTGAATGTTAAATTTTTCCCCCCAGTGCAGGAGATAGAACTCATGACCTTGCATGTGCTGGGCAACTGCTCTACTACAGAGCTACATCTCTAGCCCTTAAATACTCATTTTCCTTCCTCTGGGAAGATATCAGCATGTAATTTATAAATAGATGACAGTATGAAGCACAGAGCCACAGGTAAACTAATTTTTTGTCTAGACTTCCCTAGAGAGACCCTGGATAGGTATTTGTGTCAGAAAATATTTCAGGATGAATGGTTGGGTTAAGAGAAATGTAGGTGGAATTCAACATCTTGGATTAAACTGTTTTTCAAGACTCCACTTAAGAGCAGTTTACCAACATGTTACCAATTAACACATCAAAGAAGAAAATGGCCTGGGCATAGCTTTCTGACTAATTACTTTTTTTATATTTAGGTGGGGAAAAGTGGCAATGTACCAGCAGGCACTACGGTGGATAGTACCATCACACATCCATCTGAGTTTGACTTTTACCTTTGTAGTCATGCAGGAATTCAGGTAATTTGAAAGCTGATTCAGATCATTGGCCTGATAGGAAGACATTTGCAAAATTTAGCAACTAGCTTGAGTAGACTTGTTATTAAATATTATGCTTAACTTTTTAATACTTATATTCTAAAATGGTTATCTTTTGGTCTGGGTATCTGCTTGTAGGTGTGCTAGGGAGTAATACTTCTGAGTATGAGGATTAGGTTTCAGTTTTCCTCTCAAGTAGTCCACCTATGTTAGAAAAACATTAATCCTAAAACTCTCTCTCCAGGGAACCAGCCGCCCTTCACATTACCAGGTCTTGTGGGATGACAACTGCTTCACTGCAGATGAGCTCCAGCTACTGACTTATCAGCTGTGTCACACCTATGTGAGGTGCACACGCTCAGTCTCTATTCCAGCCCCTGCATATTATGCCCGGCTTGTAGCATTTAGGGCAAGGTATCATCTGGTGGATAAAGATCATGACAGGCAAGTTTCTCAGGCACAATAAAATCTTTTTCTATTTTACCAGCATGTTAAAAAAATGAGATACTACAGAAAACTCTGAAAAATTTAAGTTTCCTTTTAGGGCTTAAATTGCACAGAAGAAATATAATTGTCTAAGCCTGTGAGAGCTCATAGTGTAACTTCTGGTCCAAGAAGTGCTCAGTCTTGTTTATACTTGTATTGTGTCTCTACAGGAGTCTGATTTGGAGCTGCCTGTGGGTTTCCTATATAGCAAATACATTTCAGTTCTGATTAGGTCCTGAGTAACCTCCAACAGTACCCAGCACAGTGCTCCTATCAGAGCAATCACAAGCCTGTAGATTCTACTTCATGCAAGGGGGTGTCCTGACTAGATCACTTTTAAAAAAAATTTTTTTTAGTTGTTGATAGACCTTTTTTTATTTGTATGCTGAGAATCGAAACCAGTGCCTCACATATGCCAGGCAAGTGCTCTACTGCTGAGCTCCAACCCCAGCCCTGACTAGTTCACTTTGTCTTTGGTACCCTCTGGAAGAATGCACCAGAGTGAACCTGGGTGTCGGTAGGAGTGGAGCCAGACCTTCTCACCCCCAAATAGGGATCCCAAGAGAATCAGACATTTTGACCTGTTACTGAGCTACTATTAAATAGCTAAACAAGCCCTTTGCATTAATTTTCTTTTCCAAATGACCATCTGTGAAGTGTAGCCCTTTCTGGGCTCTCCCCCAAGTCTGAATTCAGCTGCTAAATAGTAGACATTCCACTGCAAGTCTATTTCTGTAAGGGTTGAAAATACACTATTATGGAAAATGCCCAGCTGTGGCTTTGTACCTTTCATTCTGTAATATACATTCATTCATTCAACACATTTATTAGGTATTGACTGTGTGCCTGGTACTCTGCTAGGTGCTAGAAATACCAAGATGAGTAAGACAGGCTTCCTGTCTATGGGGATTTTATATTTCAGTGTGGGAGACAATACAGGCAAATATAGAAGTGCAGACAGTCTGAATCAATATAGATAAAAGTGCAATAGGAGATTTATAGCTAGCTGAGAATATAGCTGGATTTGGCTCTATGAAGAAGAGAGAAGGATTCTTCCAGGCAGTGAGAACAATGGGCATAAAGGAGAGAAATCAAGTGACATGTTTGTCTGGAGCATATTAAAGGGAAACAGCAAGCCTGAGGCTGGAAAAGTATGTTAGAGCAAGATTGTCTTGTTAAATGTAAAAAGGTCTTCCTTGGATAGAATACACAGGATTTAACAGTATTGAGTATGAGTGGCAGAGGAGAGGATAAAATAAAAGATGAAAGATTTTGAACCTAAATGATAAGGATAATAATGTGAAGAGAAGTTAGAAGAGAACTCTTTATATCACATGATATTCTTAAGGAGTATATTTACAAGTTGTTGTTACCCCCCCACCCCCCAAAAAAAACAAATTTCAGAGGCCTCTCTACTTGTCCAAGGTTGTGTAGCTAGGAGGGGAAAGCAAGAAAAGATGGCTGTGCAGTAACATTTGCAGTGTCTACTATGTTCCAGCACTGTGCTAGGCACAGAGATTCATTCATTCAAAAGTTATTGAGACTATATTATGTGCTAAGCCTTACGGATACAGTGGTGAGAAAAATGGACAAAGTTCTTACTTTCTTTGAATTTACACTCCCGTGGATAAAGAAATAATTACTCAGTTAATAATTTTATTTCAATTGTGTTTAGTACCCTAAAACAAAAGTACAGGATTCTATAAAACAATATTCCAGAAGATCCTGACCTGGACTTAAGAGGCAGGAAAGATTACTATGTAGAAAATGACATTTAACTAAATGAAGCCTAGTAGGAATTAACCAGACACAATGGTCATAGGAGTCCTTATATAGGTATCATTAAAGATTTGACTCTTATAGACATTATTTTATTTAATTATTGTAACCACCCATTAAATAAGTTGCATTACATTTTTTTTCAGTTGATGTTTAGAGAGACATAAATTATTAAAGAAACCCCAGGCTTGAGCCTAAGATCTTCTTGGATCCAGTATCATTTGTGCTGTTTGAAACAGGTGAAGTTTGAAGCACTGTTCTATGGTCATATGTGTTTTTTTTTTCCTTTATTCTCGTTACAGCGCGGAAGGCAGTCATGTGTCAGGACAAAGCAACGGCCGGGATCCTCAGGCCTTGGCTAAGGCTGTGCAGATTCACCATGATACCCAGCACACAATGTATTTTGCCTGAGAGTCTCAGAAAAAAAGAACTCAACCAGTTTGGTACCCCATACAGCCTCAAAATGTTTCAAATGCCTACCGCCTCTAGATAGAGCCAAGTTGACTTCAGTTGGTCTTCTACCAGCAGCTCGGAATAGTTGCACTGAATCTATACTTTGCAGCACTGTCTGATGCATCAACAAATTGAGCCATTTTTTTAAAGTAATAGATACTCATAGATTATCTTTTCTGATGCACTGGACAGAATTTTTACCTCAATGTGCAAAGGCTGATCAGCCTGAACTTTCTAAAGGACTTTACAAGAAAGGTTTCTATGGAATATTTTGCTAGCTGTGGTGTTCACCGCATCCCTCTAGTCTTATAAGAGAAGATTATTCCTTTTTTTCTGTGTTTATTGAGTGGGGTGTATGCATAAGTGGGAAAGAAAAACCAAACCAACTACTTCAGTTCAGTGTAACTAATTGGATGAGCCCATAGACTTTTTAATGGAGATTTCTGACTTTACCACTGTAAATGCCTTTAACGAGCATTAATTTTTGAAAGTTTTACAGAGTTTTATTAGTTTTACTACTTTGTCTTATTGATCTCTGCAGACTTGTGCTGGTGCAAGTATAGACTGCTAGGCAATTGCACTATATTTGGCTGCAGATTCAAATAGGCACTTCTCTTATTCAGTTGACTTTAATGAATGTGTGACATAAACAGATGAAATGCATGTCACAGTGACAGATAATACTGCCATGGAAAAAGTACATGTTTCTCCCTGTTTGAAAAAAAAATTAGCTTTTAGTATTTTTCCAAGTTTTCAAAAGTGCCCATTTTATGCTGCTGCGGTGTGATTTGTTAGATCTAAATGATTTTTAAACTTTTCTCATAGAAAGTTAACTTTGGCAATAAACATTTTTTAAGGTCCCTCCTCTTCTTCCCCCAATGATGTAGTTTTCTAGATGAGATTTCGGTATGATTTTATCAGCTATTTCTTATATATCATAATCTGGCAATTTCTGAAACCAGTCAGAAAAGACATATATTTCCATGCCTTTTGAAAGAATTGTTTTTTACTTGTTTTATAGTCACAATCGGTGTCCTGTCATTTTGTTCTAAAATAAGCTAGAACCAGGATGCTTCCTTATTGGATAGGGTTTGCCAGTGATGTTGCACTTGCAAAAAATGTACCAGCATTGAACATTTTTTCCTGGGAATCAAGTTTATTTACATAATTACTTGCAGTGCATTTTTTTTCCTTTTTCTTTCTCTTTCAACCTGAAATGTACTTGGGTTTTCCTTCCTTTTATTCAACTAAAACTGTGTAGAAAAGGTTGATTTTTCTGAAGATTCTGGAACCCACTCACAGGGAGACAGGATTCCTTTCTTGCCCAAAAAAGGGAGTTGATCTAAAGCAAGCATCAATTAAAATGTAAGGGAAAATATATTCTGTATTTAGTGTAGATAATACTTTGTAATGGACGACAGTTACATAGAGTCTTGTTAGTTCCAGCCAGTGTTTCCCAGCCCACATTTTACTGATTGATTTATTCTCCATCCTGGAACCACCGGAGTGAGAGATTAAGGGCCCTCGAGGAGCCATACTCCATTGGCTGAGGAAGATGCTGGGGGAAGAGACAGACACAATGTGGTGAAAACAATTTTGCCGCTTGTCTGGAAACTGCTGGTGGGAAACACTGGATCAGATGGTGAAGGATGTTTGCTTGAACTCATTAGTTGGTCCAAATCTCTTAAACTGGCCTTCTCAAAATCCCAGCAATATAAAGCACTGTTTTTCTTCAGTCTTTTAAACAAGCTTGTAAATACATTGAAGTTTACATTTCCATGTGCTGTTGCTCAGCGGCGCCACAAGTGTTTGCTGAGACTGGTCTCTGAGTGAGAGTTTTATAATATCTATCAAGTCCTATAGCTCATTACCATGAGTGCAGATGTCTTTAATCTCTGCAGATAGTGGGAAGAAAGCAAGTTCTGTGACTGAAGCACAACATAGGCAGGAGAGAAGAGATGGCAGATGTTAATTTCTTAAGATTTTTCCTTTTTTGCAAATACCTCACTTGGATAATACAAATCAGGACATGTTGGTGAGGGGCTGGCTGCTGCTTTTATTCACACTTGTTCAGGGAGAGCACAGAAAATACTCTTCAGCATGGCCGCTCTGGACCCAAGAGGAGGAAAAAAATGGAAGGTTTTTAGGAGAAGAAGGACTCTTGGTGGCTGACTGGCTGGCCAGCAGGCACCACACCTGCACTTGAGTGCCTCGGGCTTGCTTCTTAAAAAACGCACAGAACGCTCACCATCTCCTGGCATCTACGGAGCAGGGAGCAAGGCCGAGTGCCCAGAAGCCCTGATACGTTTGCCTGCAGTTGGGCTGTATGCTCAACCTTGAACTGTACCATTTGTAGACCTCAGTCAGTCCTAGTACACTGGGGCCAATCAGTGTGGTGGTGGAGGAAAAGCCGGGAGGCCTATTTTTATAGGAAAACAGTACCAGTAAGGGTGCAATGCTGTCATTTTGGACAAAAAGAAGTAGGATTATTGGGGAAAAACTTGCTGAGGGGTGAATCTTTAAAAGATAATTACTGCACAATCAGAATTGCAGCAATTCCATTGCAAGCAAGTCTGAATGCATAGTTTTAATTTAATTTGGCTTGACAAGCCAATAGGTAAACCCCCTTGGGACTGACTGAATCGTTATGCATGTGTCAATCAATGGGAGGTGTGCATTCTCTAGAAGTAGTGTTAGGCTGTTTGGTTTTTTAAAAATGCAGCCTGTTTAGGCACTGTCATGTGGTGTGAAAGATTTAAATGTAGCAATGCTAAAGAGTAACAATTTGAGGATAAGGAGCAGGACATTAAGAGAGTGGTGAAGACCCAAATGTTGAACTAATTATGTTTTGTTGTTGTTATTGTTAGCTGTTATAAAGCGAACCAGCTGGTGTAATGCAGCCAGCATTCTGGGCAGGCAGAACATATTCATTCTTACTGTAAATTCTATTTGCTGCTTCCAAAGGTGATGATTTACATGCAGACATGTTCTATATGGTCTGTATTTTAGGATCTGGTGCCCAGCCTATATCAGAGCTTACCTATCTGGCTGAGCTACCTATCCCTTCCCATGGGCAAAGGTTTAACAAAGCTCACCCTCTCCACCCTGTCCTAGCAACCCTTTATGGTGTGCTGTAAGGTTTTCTTGCTCAATAGCAAGGTGGTTACTCTGCTTTCATTTTAAGAAGGTGGAGGCTGAGGGCATTGTATCAATACTGCTTCAACTCCAAGAATTTTTCCTTGTAAAATTAAAGGAAAGAGCTTGTTATCTACCAATTAACCGTTTTCTTATCCCTTGCTATTGACATATTCATGCTCTTTCATGTCTAGTGGCTGAAAATGTTTGCATTGGTTCATTTGACTAATGGTGTGATTTTTGTTCCTCTACTGTTAGACTTGTAATGTTTTAAAATGTATTTTATTAAATTTGGACTGGATGTATGTCTCTAGCAATACGAGGTACTTTCTAAGCTATTAAGGGAGGGGTTGTATCCCCATGTGGAGATAAGATAATGGTTGTTTAAATTTGCAAATTTTTTTTTGGCCTGCAGGGATATTTTGTGTTCATGTGTCCAAAAAAAAAGGAGAATAAATTGGCATTCTTGTGCCAAAAGTTGTTTTTCTTGTCAGTTGTCTAATAACTATGGAGTACACTGTAATGGCAACACACATGTTGCTTTTTAAAACCAATTTCCTCAGCTTGAAAAATTCGACAAAGAAGAAAAATGGGAAAACTTTGTTTTGAACTTCTGGGTCACCGTATTTTAGGAATTGCTATATGAGAATTTTAGAAGAGTTTCTCAGCAACATTTCACAAATGGAAATTTTTATAAGATTCATCAGAATTTTGGATTCAGCTCTCAATGGGAAGATCTATTTCAGTGAGGCCTTAAGAAAAATTTAAGTCCCAAGACAGGGCCGTGTCCACATACTTACATTTAAAAGACTGAGTTCTCCAGGAAGTTTTCTAAATCCAACCAACCTGAGGTTTTCCAGTCTCATGTTTTTTTTTAAATTTAATTAATTTACTTATTTATTTTGAGATAGGGCCTCACTATGTTACCCAGTCTGACCTAGAAATCTCTGCCCTCCTGCCTCAGCCTCTCAAATAACATGTGCCAGTGTGCCCAGTTCATTTCTTTTTGGAATTCCTTACCAACAAAACCCTTTTGCTAAGTCATGGTAAGGAAATGTGGAAATTTTCAGATATGGCCCTTACTCTCATGGAACTTTACAGTACCAGAGAAGAAAGTCTTGCATATAACTAACTCTACTAGAAGGTGAGTTTTTCTTTTTTGTTTTTCTATCAGCACAATATTTCCTTCATATTTGTCACTTATCAAACATTTATCATGAACTCGGTACATGCCAAACTGTACTTAAGTTCTGGGAACACAGAAGAGCAAAATCTCATTTTTTATTTTCTTGTAGTATCGAACATAAGGCGCTCTACTGTTGAGCTATGTCCCCAGTCCTTTTTTCATTTTTTATATTGAGATAGGGTCTCACTAAGTTGCCCACGCTGGTGTCGAACTTGCCATCCTCCTGCTTCTCAAGTATCTAGGATTATAGGTGTGCACCACCACACCCTGCTGAAAAGAGTTCATGCTAGCTAGCCTTTTTCCATCTGTGGTGCTACAGGCTGAGAAACTCTCCTCTAAACTCCCAGCTGTGCAGTTAAACCACTCACTGCCGTCAGTGCAAGTCTTTTGATGCAAGAAGACTGTCAGGATCATGGAGCACTGCAAGCATAGCTCATAACTGGGCTCAGCAAGATTAACTGAGGTCTGCTGGAGATGTTCGAGCCACGTGTGCTGCAGTCCGTTCCTGGAGCCTTTTCTGCTTCTGTGCAAGGAGCTGTTTGCTGGCTGGACATCTGGTCCATGTGAAGGGTGGTGGTGATGTGGCCTAGATCTACACTATCAGTAAATTCATCTCCAAAGCTCTGGTGGTCTATTACCAGAAATATGTGGATGAGGTTTCCAATGAGGAGATCAAAGACATCCTCATCTAGTATGATGGAACATGACAAGCAGCTGACCCATGTTGCTGTGAATCCAAAAAGTTAGGGGGCCCATCCTCTCTTCTAGAAATCCTATGGGCTAGCCCATCACAAGGATCAGGATTCATCTTTGTAATAATATATAATTTTAAGGTTAAAAAAAAGTTCATTCTAATATGACATGGGGTGGAGGAGGAAGCATTGAGATTAACAGTATTGGAGTGCCAAGTGTATGTCAGTCACTTTATGTTGACATCTTTATACACACACACACACACACACACACACACACACATATATATATATATATATATATATATATATATATATATATATATATTTAGTTGTAGTTGGATACAGTACTTTTTAAAAAATTTTTATGTGGTGTTGAGGATCGAACCCAGCGCCCCGTATGCACTAGGTGAGTACTCCACTGCTGAGCCACAACCCCAGCCCCTCTATTGACATCTTTAGTCCCAGCAACAGTCCTTTGAGACTGACAGTAGTATCCACTTTTAAAGATAAGGAATCATGAGGCTAGAGGTATAGTTTGGAGATACAGCACGGGGCTCCCATGTGTAAAGCCCTGGGTTCAATGCCCAGTACCACAACCAACCCCCCCCCCCCCGAAAAAGAAAAGATCTGAAAGTATCCATTAGAATTTGCAGCAGGAAAATTAGAGGTGACCCTGGGGAAAGCAATGTCTGTTGCTGAAGGGGGCAGACCTTGACTTTAGAAATCTGAGGAAGCTATAGTACAGACCCTCTAGTTAGTGATTGGATATAACAGGAAAGAATGAATTTCAATGTTAGCTGGAGTGGGAAGTAGTTCATTTTTCAGAATGAGAGAGATTTCAGCATATATATGCTCTGGGGAAGGAGCAAATAAAGAAGCAGAAATTGGAAATACTGGAAAGGAAAAAAATGATAGAGGGAGCACTTGAAGGAAGTTAGAGGGAAAGATCCAACACATAAGCAGAAAAACTGAGAAAAACAAAAGTGGGAGGAGGCTGTATGTCATAGCATTTTCTAACTTTTTTGAACTATAATGTACATATAATAAAGTATCATAAGTTATCAGTTCAAATCATAAGTTATCAGTTCAAATTTTCTCCAAGGAAAGACATTCATGTAATTCTCAGCCAAATTTAAAAACAGAAACTTATCAGTGCTCCAGAAGGCCCCAGGACCACTAGAAGTGGTAAGATAGTCACTACCTAAATCTATTCTTCCTAAAGTTAATCGCTCTCTTTTAAAAACAGTTTTAATGAGGTTAATTGATATATATATATATAAAGCTGCACATATTTAATGTATACGATTTAGTAGATTTGAACATATACCTGTGAAACAGATACTGCAGTCAAGATTATAAATATATCCTTCAATAGCCACAATTTTTTTAAGGTACTGGGGATTGAACCTAGAGCCTGGTGCATGCTAAGGAAGTATTCTACCACCTAATTACATCCACAACCCTTTTAATTTTTTATTAAGAGTCTTGCAAAGTTGCCCAGGTTGGTTTCAAACTTGTGATTCTCCTGCCTCATCCTCCTAAATTTCTGGGATTACCGTTCAGGCCTTTGTAGAATCCTCTCCCATTGAGTGCAAACAGGACTTGCAATTTGGTTTCTAACCAACAAAATATGGCAAAGGTGATGGAATGTCCCTGTGATTACATTGAGTTCTATGAGACACACTCTGCCTTACTCACTCTGGAGTCATTCCTCTCTCTGTCTTTCTCCTTGCTGGTCATATTAG